AAAGACTGTTTGTAGGCCATGTTATTGACTATCGGGAGCTGAATAGGGTCTACCATTATAAAAATCGTTTTCCCATTACCTCGTGTGCGATCCTGGGGAAATTAATTCCCCCAGAGCCTTAAAGGCTGCGGTAGTATTTACCAAACTGGACTTTAAGGGTGAGCCTACAATTGGTTCGCATAAGGGTTAGGGGGGGAAATGAGGTGGAAGACGGCCTTCCGCACCTCGGTTAATCGGCCATTTTGAATATTACCTAGTCATTGCCTTTCGGGTTGTGCAATGCGCCAGCCACCTTCCAGCACTTTGTATAAACGACATCTTTTATAGGGAACTTCCTGGACATCTTTGTCATCGTCTTTTTGTTCTACTTAGACGACATTTTGATTTTTTGTTCACCCTCCCTGGGGGAGCACATGGGTACATGTAACAAAGGTGTTGGCGTGCGGTTTGCGGCAGCTTAGGGTGGTAACGGCTAAAGCAGAGATAACTGCTGCTTTGAGCCAGGCTAGCTTTACATTTCTGGGTTCTGATTATCTCCACCACGGGGGTCGCGAGTTGGACCCTCAGAAAGGTCTCGAGCGATCCTAGTTGGGCGCCTGAACCCATCGGACAGGAAAGGTCGTTCCAGACGTTTTATTGGGTTCGCAGAATTTCTACCGGAAGTTCATCAATCTAAGTTCTCGGGTTTCTGGGTCCTCCCCCATCACTCTCAGTTATCCAAGCCTTGGACGTCGCGATGTGTTCGGAGATGGACGCCCGAGGCACATGGAAGCTTTTGAAGCACTTAAAAAGGGTTATTTTACCTCGGCACCCATTCTGGGTCATCCCGACGCGCTCCCCTTGCCGTACATCTTTAGATGAAGTAGATGCATCTGAAACGCGGTTGGGCTCCAATCTTTCCAGCGGATAGGACCGCCAAGGATGAATTACTTCTCACCAGAGTAGCATTCTTTTCACGGAAACTTACACCCTGCGGCAGAGGAAACTTATGATTCATATGGGATCGCGAGCTACCTGGCTATCAAAAACCGCCTTTAGAAGAATGTGAGATGGTATACGCGCTGGAAGTGGTGCCTCCTAATCCCTCATCCTGATCATTCACGGACCACAAGAACCCTGGAATATATCTAAGAGGACGGGCCAAACGTCTTACGCTCGGATCGACAAGCATAGATGGGCATTGTGGTTTTCTCGATGGTTCCTAGGTCCAGTTCCACATCACATACAGTGCCCGGCTCGAAAAACACGAAGCCTGACGCCCAAGTTGTCGCGCATGTACGAGGACACCAAGAAGGAGATTCAAGTGCCGACACACTATTCTTCTGCGGAAGGAATTTCTTGGCCCTTCAGACAAACCTTCGCTCCGAGATCCTGTCGAGAGTCGGTTCCACAGCAGCAATGTCACCACCCCGATGGGGGCCCCCCTCCAGAACAAAGGAGGAGACTCCTATGGAGGGAGGACCGGATCCTGTTGGTTGCCGGGGAGGGATGCCTGAACGCCTTAGTCTTTGGGACATTTGCCATGACCATTCCACTGCAGGACATTTCGGGCGGTCAAGACCCTCGGGAACTTCTCCGACGTTCCTTCTCTGGGCTGGACCTGGACATGGCAAGGATTGTAAGAACTACGTGGTGCTCCTGTGCCATTCTGCCAGCGGAACAAGCCTTCAAGAAATAAGGCGTGGGGCCTGCTACGTCCAGATTGCCCATCCTGAATACAGGCCCTAGGCAGAAAATATCTCATGGACTCATAGTCGAAGCTTCCACCTTCACTGGGACCATCACTCAAGCTTATTCTCTGTTGGTCAGCTGTTGATCCGCTATGTCCAAGATGGCCCATTCATCCCTTTACGGAAGACTCCATCAGCAGCCGAGACGCGCGCAAGTCTTTATTCGACCAGAGATCGTTAGACTAGATTGTCATGGGGTTCCCGAAGACAATCGTCTCGGATCCGAGAGGGTGCAGTTTACCTCGCTCGGGTTTTGGAGTGGGCATTGTGCAAAGCCCTGGCTATATCAAGCTGTCCCTTTCCTCGGCATTTCACCCTCAGACCAATGCCAGACCGAAAGGACCAATATCAGACCCTGGATAGCAATACCTTCGATGCTACACATCATTCTCTCAGGACGAGACTTGGGTGCCACTCCTCCCTTTGGCAGAATTCGCGCTTACAACAACGCTTTGCCATTCAGACAACTCTGGGCATTGCTCCCCGTTCTGTCGCCAACTATGGGTTTCATCCTGTCTTCCTCCCGGACTTGGTCCCGGAATGCCGATTCCAGCGACACAAGGATGCACTGACCTTCTTCACCTCCAACTAATAGCAATGATAGAGAAACTACAGGAAGCCATCCGTCAAGCCCAAGAGAGACTACAAGAGGGCTTTTATGGATAGGAGTGCGAAAGATGGGGGGATCTGGTGTTGCAGCCCGGAGAGAAGGTTTTAGGCTGGCTACGTCAAGACTTTGAGGATGCAACTGCCCAGTCTAAAGAAGTTGGGACCTAAAGTTTATAGGCCTCCCTGTTTGTTGCATATCAAACGGGTATTATGGTCGGTCAATGAGGTGGCCTATGAACTTGTATCTCCCTGAGAGACACTCAAGATCCACCCTGTCTTCAGAGGCGTTTCGTGTCCCATGTTGTAAACCAGTAGTTTCCTCTGATGTCTCTTCCGGAACGGAATCCAGGCCCCCGGACGGCCGTAACGGTTGAAGTAGGACGAATAAATTCGAGGGTGGAGGCAATCTTGAAAGTGCCGACGAAGGGGGGGCCAGACCCAATCTTTCCTTCGCCATCAAGTGGACAGGGCTTCGGCCCCTGAGGACAGTACAATTCGTGGGAACCAGTCCCATAATGTCATCATGCACCTAGGCTTGTCCGGGGGTTTCTTTGTGATCACCCGTGGATGGGTGGAGAGAGTTCGGAAGAGTTGGGCATCCGGAGGTTGCCCGTAGGGGGATTGGGGGGCATAGAGCTCTCTGTCATAGGGATTGGTTCTCGCGAGAGAGGGATCTCCCCCGATCCGCGCGCCGATGGGCCCGGCGCAGGCGCATCTGCTTCAGACCCAGTGATACGACGGCGCACTCTGAGTCGGGTATCCCGGGATGCCGGTCGGGCGTTTGGCACTCAGAGTTTTTTCGGCTTGAGTTCGTTTATTTTTTCTTCACCCCCTATTTCCCCCCCTGTTATGCCCTCAGTAGAAGCCTGTAGTGGGCGGGCCGCCCGCTGGGCACCAAATGCGGCAGCGCAGGCGTTCGGGATATTTAAAGGTCCCGTGAGCTGTCATTTCGTTGCCTTCTGGTTCTTATCCTGCTTCCTGTGTTCCTGTACGCCTGTGCCTAAAGTAAAGTTATTGACCGGATTACTCTTGACCTTGCTGATGTTGATTTCTCCTGCCCCAGGACCCCTGTGCTTGCCTGACTTCTCTCCCCTGGATGCCCTTATTAGATAATGCTTGACCTCCTGTTGCCTTGAACCTGGCGTGTGACCCGACGATTCTCTGCCTGCTCCCTTGCTACTCTTACCGTTCCTTCCACATTACCTGGACTCGGCCTGTCTTGACTACGCACTTGCTCAGCCAATCCATCCATCCATCCTATCGATCGGGGTCACCGTGACCTCCTCACATCTGGCTCTCCCTGGTTGGAAACCCCTGGCGAACACCACTACACTGACAGGTGTGCTCGCAAGTAGAGGCGACCTTCAGGTCTCGGACGGTGTACTGACCAAGTCACATCCCCACCATCATGGGCCCTGAGGGGTGAACAAGTGAACCCTGGGTGCTTAGACTGGCTCCAGCACATCTGGCAGCACGCTTTACCAGTGGAGTGCTAGTGGTGTAACGCTACGCGGTCGCGGGTCCCTCACGCAGACGCAGAACAGAAGAGGATGTTTTAAGTCAGGAACACAGAGCTGAGGTCAGAGTGCTCTCCACAGGAAAATCATGGCAAGAGAGGGAGAAGCAAGATGCAAAGCCGAAGGTCATACTTAGGCGATTATGCAGCAGGGACAAGTCCCAAGAAATCCGGGTTGAGATAAATGCTCGGGTAAATCACCAAGAACACAGGCAGAAAGATCACTGGGAACATATGGGAGCTGACTGAAGATCAAACCAGCAATTCCATTGAGGGTCCATATAATAGCCGTTTGGCACCAGGTTGTCATCTAGGTGCGATGTTGCCCAGTTGGCTGTTATATTTGACGCTACTGCACACATTTTTTGCACAATCCAGCGCGATCACATTCTTTGTTGAGTCACATGTGAGACCCCCCCCCCCCCCCCCATCCCCTCCCTATATTTGAATGTGGTTGGGTTTGGTGACAGCACTGATGTGACGGGAGGTCAGACTTCATTTTTTTTGTGGTGGGGGCCCATGGATAACACAGCTCACTTTGGAGGGGTGGGGGAGACCCCAGTCTCGCTCCCCTTTAAATCCCTCTTATGTGGTAAAGTCAGACCCTGTGCCTGTTAGGGGTACAGGGTTGTATTTTGTCCTAATATGGGGGGGGGGGGTGTTGTGCGATCTCGTTTTTAATGCCATGGTGGTTGCATCCCATTAGTTCTATTGGATGTCTGTCTTGCTTGGGAGCAAATTATTTACCTTGCCGATGTATTGTGTTTAAATGGAGTAATGGCCTTGGTGGGGGGGGGTGATCTCCAGCAGCCCTCCCCATCCTGAATGGGGACTGTCTGCGTGGTGTTGTGCTCTTGTTACTCACTAAAGGTAAATTGCCCCGCAGCCTGTGTTCAATTATGCGGACAGGAGGGGGGGGGGGTGAAGGGGTTTGTCCCCATGAGAGTGATTATAGTCTTGTATACTGAGTGTAAAAATAAATTAGTTCTTAACCTTCTGGTTTAGCACTTCAAGTCGTCGGTGTCGTCTAGTCTGTGTATGGAGGTCACTGAGCTCCTGAGAGCGACCCAATCTTTCCCCAATGTTTGTAGAAGCGTCTGCATGCCTAGGAGCTTGATTTGTAATACCACCTGTGGTCTTGAGTCATGGGGGAACACCTGATTGATATGGTGGGGACTGGAACCTGAATCCACATGTTATGGAGGGGATTGGAACACCTGAATCACATGATTATGGGAGGGGATTGGAACACCTGAATCACATGATTATGGAGGGAGGATTGGAACACCTGAATCAACATGATGATGGAGGAGGTATTGGAACACCTGAATCACATTGATATGGAGGGGTTTGGAAACACCTGAATCACAAAATCACCATGATATGGAGGGGATTGGAACACTGAATCACAATGATATGGAGGGGATTGGAATCCACCTGAAATCACTATGATTGGGAGGGGGTTGGAGGGGGGAGTAACACCTGAATCACATGAATTTGGAGGGGATTGGAACACTAATCACAGGATTGAATGGAAACATGATTTGGACATGGGGGGGGACAATACTTTGGGTAATATAGTGCATCTATGGTAAGTCACTGTGAAGGACAACAATGTAACAGGAGCCTTTGGAGTAAACATAAAAATAAACTTTGGAACTCGCACAAATAGTTAAGCTACAAATGCAGTCGGGGAATTAAAAAAAAAAGGTCCATTACACACTCAATTGATAGAACAACACATATGTTCGACTTCCTGAAAACGCAAGCGTTCGCTGGCAATAATAAAAGACTCTGCGCCGTAAATTGCGATCAGCGAGAGATTTTTCACCACTCTGTGTACGTTTCAGGAACTAGTTCCAGATTACTAATGGTTTAATAAATTTGAAAAATGGAAAAGCAATACGTTTCTCTCTGTCTGACTGTCAGCTCATCCTGCGCAAATCTCTTTCATTTTTTTTTTTTTTTAATCACATAATTAAAGCTGAACCGCAGCCAAAAATACAAAAAACAAAATGAGTAGACAATGAAAAATAATAAAAATTAACAAAACTCGCCTCTACAGCATATAATCACCTCCAATCCAGAGATATTCCCCTCACAGTAAAATTTTTCTGCCACTAGATATCGTCACTCTGATGGCCAGATCCAGTCATTCATCCTACTTTCCTTGGAAGCCCAGGGCATCCTGGACTCGTTCTACAGTCCTCTTATTTATTAGCCAGTGATGAGCTCATCTCCATCACTACTTGCTGTCTTACTCTCTCTCCTAATAGTTTGTTTTCTACAAACATTGTGAGAAAGAATGGGTCGTCTCCTCAAGGAAGCTCGTTGACTCCAAGCGTGGTCCCGGGATAGGTGGGCCACCTGGGCAATCATTCCATCCGTGACATTTCCTGGCTAACTAAATAGTCCTACGCTCAAGTGTTAGTGGGATTATAACCCAGTAGGAAGCCACTGGAAACAACAGCCCACTCAGCCACCAAGTGTTAGTAGGACACGTCACATGACAGGGCGGGGTTAGGGCATGCTGGAAGCGCCACAGTGCGCAGAAGTCGCCAACTGGTCGTGCAGAGTCAATAGCTAGAGGACCTCCAAACTTGGTGTGGCGCTTCAGATCTGAGCCCAAACAACAGTGCGTAGAGAGCCTTCAGGGAAGGGTTTGTCCATGGCCGAGCAGCTGCATCCAAGCCTTCCCTCCCCAAGTTGCAATGCAAGTGCGTTGGATGCCGTTGGTGTAAAGCACGCTGCCACTAGGGACTCGCTGAGAAACAGAGGAAAGCGTGTTTCTCTGGAGTGGACCAATCATCGCCAGAGATTCGTATGCGGCAAATCCGAATGTGGACGTGTCTGGGTTTTGATGGTTTGCCAGGAGAACGGTACTTTGCCTGACTGCATTGTTGGCCAGTTAGTTGTAAATGTTTGGTGGGGGGGGATTATGGTGTGGGGGGTTGTGTGTCGGGGTGGGGCTTGGCCCCCTAGTTCCAGTGAATGGAACTCTGTAAGGTGACATTTTATGGACAATTTCATGCTCCACAACGTTGTGATGGGAGGAGTTAGTTTGGGGATTGCCTCTTTCCTGTTCCAACATGACTGCCCACCAGTTGCACAACGCAAGGTCCATAAAGACATGAGGGAGCCAGTTTGAGGGTGGAGGAACTTGACTGTCCTGCAACAGTAGTCCTGAGCCTCAACCCCATGCATACCTTTGGGATGAATTAGGGCGGAGGTCGGCGAGAGCCAGGCCTCCTCCTCCGACATCTGTGCCTGACCTGACAAAGTGTGCATCTGGAAGCATGGTCCTAAACCTTCCCATAGAACACCCTCACTAAACCCTTTGTGGGGGGGCCTTCCCAGAGAGAGTATGAAGTCTGTTTATGGCTTGCAAGGGCGGGGCCAACATCAATATTGAAACCCCTGACGGACCTAAGACTGGTGGCGCCATTAAGGAAGGTCCCCAGTGTGTGTAGGGAAGGCGGGGCCAAGCCGCAGTTTTGAACCCTACGAGACTAAGACTGGGGGCCATTAAAGGGTCATGTGTGTGGAAAGGGCTGGGGCCAACTCCATATTGAACCCCTTACGCACTAATACTGGGGGGGTCCATTACAGGGTCATGTGTGTGGAAAGGCCGGCAGCCCAATACTTGGGGCAAACTATAGTGTATACTGCTACTGGTATTGTAGTTCCTCTATGTTGCAATATGCACATATGTGTCATCCAGGACATAATACATAGGTGGTGTTGTAAATTGGTTCACCACAGTTTGTACTTCACACCATGTTATAGGTAAACGTCGTGCAGCTGTTTGAGCACGAGCAATGTATTCTAAGCACCGGACCTCCTCCATAACACCAAAGTCTGCTGACCAAGTAGGGGGCTATTTAAAATTCACTGCCTATAAAAATACATAAGGCAATTTGAGAATTTAAGTTGTGGCTATGTTGGGTATCTATTTACCGCGGATGCAACTGCAACCTCAACCTTTTATATTTTAACCAACAATTGGGTAATTAATATACCATTTGTGGTGCCCCGTAAAAAAAATTATCTTCACTTCAATGTGGTTCTTGTTTACTAATATTTTGCATTTATCCGTAGACCTTTGTTGGTACTTTTCATACAAAAGAATTGGATCGACCTACTATTTTGATCTCTCTAGGGTTGTTTTTGTCTGACTTTCATACCTCCTTACATCACTGATACCCCATCAGAGGGCCCCTATACATCATCCGTTTCCCCATCAGAGAAATCCCCCCCCCCCCACATCAGTTGTTTTTTAAGTGTCCCCTTACATCAGGTGTCCCCATCAGAGTGCCCCCTTACATCAGGTGTCGCCCCATCAAAGTGTACCCTTACATCACTGTCCCCCGTCAGAGTGCCCCTTACATCTGTGTCCCCATCAGAGAACCCCCACATCATGGTGTTCCCTTACATCAGGTGTCCCCTTCAGAGTGCCGTTTACATCCGTGTCCCCATCAGAGAAAACACCCCCCCCCCCCACATCAGAGTGTCCCCCCTTACATCAGGTGTCCCCATCAGAGTGTACCCTTACATCACTGTCCCCATCAGAGTGCCCCCTTACATCCGTGTCCCACCAGAGTGCCCCCCTTACAATCAGGTTCCCTCCTCATCAGAGTGCCCCCCTCTACATCCATGTCCCCCATCAGAGTGCCCCCTTACATCACTGTCCCTTTCAAGTGCCCCCTTACATCCATGTCCCCCAGCAGAGAATTCCCCACACATCAGAGTGCTCCCTTACACCTGTGTCCCCATCAAAGTGCCCCTTTTACATCAATTTCCCAATCAGAGTGCCCCCTTTACATCGATGTCCCAATCAGAGTGTCCCCTTATATCCATGTCCTCATCAGAGTGCCCCCTTGCATCTGTGTCCCCAATAGAGTGCCCCCTTATGTCCATGTCTCCCATCGGAGTTGCCCCTTACTTCAACTGTCTGCATCAGATTGGCTCTTGGATCAGTGGATGCACTCTCAGAGATCTGGGGGCACAGTAAAATCTGGTGGGGGGGCACAGCCCATCCCAGCACCCCCCTAGATCCAGCCCCATTCATGGTACTTGTATAATAATAATTATGGTGATAATATTCCCTTTGAACCGTGACACATGATCCGGCCCCGCATGTCAGGGTCTGGCTCTCCTTGCTCGTTCTCCTGATTTGCAGCAACCTGTGTATTGGTAAATCTGGGATCCCGGCCAGTGCTGTTCATCAATAAACTGTCATGGCCTCAGGGTTGTGCGGATCACAGCGGGCCGAGGCCTTCAACCTTCATCTGCAGAACCGAGAAGGGACAGGCGACAATATAAATGGAATTTTAACTGCGTTCATATCGCCGCGACACCAGGGACACCACGACTGAGAGAGGCTCCGGCCAATGGAAAGGCTTTTCTCGCCGAACTTCCATTTAAAACCGACTCCTAACACGGCTCCATCCATCTAAGCCCAGATGACAAGTACAAGCAACAGGATGTGCCTGTGATTAATCTGCTTTGTTTACTGCAAATTGAAAGTGTAACTGAAAAATTCGAAGGTCAGGTAAACAGTGCCGGGAAGAGAACAATCAGTCCAACTCGCTGAGAAACATGATTGTAGGTGCGCGGAGCAGAGCTTGGCAACCCCGCCACGTTCCATACATAATGTACTCACGGAACAAAACGCTCTGCTGCAGTTTTTATGAAAGAGGATGCTGAGATACGCAAAGCAGAAAAGATACTGAAGAAAATAAATATACTTACAGTAGATACCAAAACAAGTCACGCTTCAAAATTGTGCACGCCCGTGCAACGGCGACAAAAATGACGTAAATTTTACTATCCCTCCCGTGTCCCCATCAGAGTGCCCCCTTTACATCAAGGTTCCCATCAGAGTTCTACTACATCAGGGTGCCCCCTTACATCAAGGTTCCCATCAGGTTCTACTACATCAGGGTCCCCATCAGAGTGCCTCCTCACACCTGTGTCCCCATCAGAGTGCCCCCTTACATCAAGGTTCCCATCAGAGGTTCTACTACATCAGGGTCCCCATCAGAGTGCCCCCTCACACCTGTGTCCCCATCAGAGTGCCCCCTTACATCAAGGTTCCCATCAGGGTTCTACTACATCAGGGTCCCCATCAGAGTGCCCCCTCACACCTGTGTCCCCATCAGAGTGCCCCCTTACATCCCCATAAGGTTCCCATCAGAGGTTCTACTACATCAGGGTCTCCATCAGAGTGCCCCCCTCACACCTGTGTCCCCATCAGAGTGCCCCCTTACATCAAGGTTCCCATCAGAGGTTCTACTACATCAGGGTCCCCATCAGAGTGCCCCCCTCACACCTGTGTCCCCATCAGAGTGCCCCCTTACATCAAGGTTCCCATCAGAGGTTCTACTACATCAGAGTCCCCATCAGAGTGCCCCCTCACACCTGTGTCCCCATCAGAGTGCCCCCTTACATCAAGGTTCCCATCAGAGGTTCTACTACATCAGGGTCCCCATCAGAGTGCCCCCTCACACCTGTGTCCCCATCAGAGTGCCCCCTTTCATCAAGGTTCCCATCAGAGGTTCTACTACATCAGGGGGTCCCCATCAGAGTGCCCCCTTACATTAAGGTTCCCATCAGAGTGCCTCCTTACACCTGTGTCCCCATCAGAGTGTCTCCTTACATCGGTTGCATCTGTGTCCCCATCAGAGTGTCCCCTTACCTCCATTGCATCTGTCCCCCCCCTTACATCCATGTCCCCATTAGAGCGCCCCTTTATGTCCGTGTCTCCATCAGAGTGTCCCCTTACATCAGGTGACCCATCAGAGTGCTCCCTTACATCAGGTGTCCCCATCAGAGTGTCCCCTAACATCCATTGCATCTGTGTCTCCATCAGAGAGCCCCTTACATCAAGGTTCCCATCAGAGGTTCTACTATATCAGGTTCCCCATAGGAGTGCCTCCTTACACCTGTGTCCCCATCAGAGTGTCCAATTACATCCGTTGCATCTGTGTCCCCCCTTACATTCATGTCCCCATTAGAGCGCTCCTTTATGTCCGTATCTCCATTAGAGTGTCCCCTTACATCACTGTCCCCATCAGAGTGCCCCCTTACATCTGTTGCATCTGTGTCCCCTCAGAGTGCCCCCTAACATCCGTTGCATCTGTGTCTCCATCAGAGTGCCCCCTTACATCAAGGTTCCCATCAGAGGTTCTACTACATCAGGTTACCCATAAGAGTGCCCCCTTACACCTGTGTCCCCATCAGAGTGCCCCCTTATACCTGTATCCCCTTCAGAGCGCCCTCTTACATCCATTGCATCTGTGTCCCCATTGGCATGACCACTTACATCTGTGTCCCCATTAGAGTGCCCCTTTATGTCCGTGTCCCCATCAGTGTCCCCTTACATCAGGTGTCTCCAACAGAGTGACCCCCTTACATCAAGTGTTCCCATCAGAGTGACCCCCTACATCACTGTTCCCATCAGAGAATCCCCCCCCCCAATTAGAGTGTCCCCTTACATCAGGTGTCTCCATCAGTGTGTCCCCATCAGAGTGCCGCCTTACTTCAGGTATTCCCATCAGAGTGTCCCCTTACATCAGGTGTTCCCATCAGAGTGCCCCCTTACATCACTGTCCCCAACAGAGAATCCCCCGCCCACATCAGAGTGTCCCCTTTCATCAGGTTTTCCCTTTCAGAGTGCCCCCTTACATCCCTGTCCCCATCAGAGAATGTCCCCCCACCCATCAGAGTGCCCCCTTACATCAGGTGTCCCCATCAGAGTGCCCCCTTACATCAGGTGTCCCCATCAGAGTGCCCCTTACATCAGGTGTTCCCATCAGAGTGTCCCCTTACATCCGTTACATCTGTGTCCCCATTAGTGTGCCCCCTTTTATCCATGTCCCCATTAGAGTGCCCCCTTATGTCTGTGTTCCCATCAGAGTGCCCCCTTATGTCTGTGTCCCCATCAGAGTGCCCCCTTATATCCGTGTCCCCGGGGGCCAGTGTGTGTATAAATAGTCTGGGGCCTGGAGCAGCAGGGTTCTTCTTGTCTTAGAGGAGAAGACCCAGACTGAAGGGCTGCTGGCCTTTTGGGCAGATTAGCTGAAGATTGCAGGAGTGTCAAGGATGTCCCAGCTCAGGGAGAGCTGGGGGGGGGGGTAGCTTTAAAGCTGATGAGAAAAGTTTGAAGAAAGTCTACTGAGCAGGGGCGGACTGACCATTTGGAAACTCGGGCACTGCCCGAGGGCCTGGGGTCAGTAGGGGGCCCCATGAGATGCCCCAGGTACCTTTTTCATAGGCTTTTTTGAGTTTGGGCAAGGACACAGGGGCCCCATGATCCCCTATTGCCCGGGGGCCCCATGAGTTGTCAGTCCGCCCCTGCTACTGAGCATCTGTCCCAGGGGCTCACTGCACAGGGTCCTGCTGGTACTGGAAGAAGGTATCCATAAACAAAGGGACAGAGTGGGGTTAATTTACTAAAGGCAAAATAGACTGTGCACTCTGCAAGAGCAGTTGCTCCAGAGCTTAGGAAATGAGCAGAAGCTCTGCTGACTTCCATCATCCAATCACGTGCAAGCAAAAATGCTTTTTTTTTCAATTTTCCTTGCACATGATTGGGTATTCCTTGCAAAGTGAATCTTTATCTCATTTACAAAGCTCTGGAGCAATTGCACTGTGCAGAGTGCAGTCAAATTGCCTGTAGTAAATCCCCCCAATTAGTGATCGGTACTGACCTTGTTCATTCATAACTGAAGCATAGTAAACTATGGTTTTTTTTCTGGGGGGGGGGGGGGTGCTGTAAGGTTGGCTGTATGGCGCTCTGCTTGGTTTCTAACAGCAGTCCTGGTTCTGTAGAACCCCTGGAAACCCAACTCTGAGCTAATTTGTATTTCTGAAAACTTTCTCCCAGCTGGTCCTAACAAATCCTCAAGTTGTCTTCCAGGCTCATGGATGCCTATCTAGCATCAACCAACCCAGAGCTGCATCAACCAACCCAGAGCTGCATCAACCAACCCTGAGCTGCATCAACCAACCCAGAGCTGCATCAGCCAACCCAGAGCTGCATCAACCAACCCAGAGCTGCATCAGCCAACCCAGAGCTGCATCAGCCAACCCAGAGCTGCATCAACCAACCCAGAGCTGCATCAGCCAACCCAGAGCTGCATCAACCAACCCAGAGCTGCATCAACCAACCCAGAGCTGCATCAGCCAACCCAGAGCTGCATCAACCAACCCAGAGCTGCATCAGCCAACCCAGAGCTGCATCGGCCAACCCAGAGCTGCATAAACCAACCCAGAGCTGCATCAACCAACCCTGAGCTGCATCAACCAACCCAGAGCTGCATCAACCAACCCAGAGCTGCATCAGCCAACCCAGAGCTGCATCAACCAACCCAGAGCTGCATCAGCCAACCCAGAGCTGCATCAACCAACCCAGAGCTGCATCAACCAAACAACCCAGAGCTGCATCAACCAACCCAGAGCTGCATCAGCCAACCCAGAGCTGCATCAACCAACCCAGAGCTGCATCAGCCAACCCAGAGCTGCATCAACCAACCCAGAGCTGCATCAGCCAACCCAGAGCTGCATCAACCAACCAAGAGCTGCATCAGCCAACCCAGAGCTGCATCAACCAACCCAGAGCTGCATCAACCAACCCAGAGCTGCATCGGCCAACGTGTAGGTAAAGAATTCCTTCCAGTAACTGGTGTGGTCATCCATGTTTGTGCCGCAACATACTGTCCGTGCGCGTTGTGCGAACATCTGCGCACACTAGCCCATGATCGTACGCGCCCAATCTCAGAACTGCCACCAAATACCCTTTTTTAACCCCTTGCCTACAGGGCACGTACTGTATATCCCCTTCCTGCCCAGACCAATTTCCAGCTATCAGCGCTGTCACACTTTGAATGACAATTGCGCGGTCATGCAACACTGTACCCATATGAAATGTTTATCATTTTTTTGTGACAGATAGAGCTTTATTTTGGTGGTATTTAATCACCTCAGGGTTTTTTATTTTTTCTTAAACAAACCAAAAACCACTGAAAATTTTGAAAAAAAAAATAGTTTTCTTAGTTTTTGTTATACAATTTTGTAAATAAGTGATTTTTCTCCTTCACTGATGTGCGCTAATGAGGCTGCAGTGATGGGCACTGATGGGCACTGATGAGGAGGCACTGGTAGGTGGTACTGATGGGCACTGAAAGGTTGCACTGATATATGGCACTGATAGGCAACACTGCTGGTGGCACTGATGGGCACTGATGAGGAGGCACTGGTAGGTGGTACTGATGGGCACTAAAAGGCAGCACTGATATATGGCACTGATAGGCAACACTGATAGGTGGCACTGATAGGCAGCACTGACTGGCACTGTTAGGTGGCACTGATAGGCAGCACTGACGGGGCACTGACTGGCACTGATAGGTGGCACTGACTTGCAATGATAAGTAGCAATGATTGGCAGCACTGATAGGTGGTACTGATTGGCATTGATAGGTGGCACTGACTGGCACTGCTGGGTGACACTGAAAGGCAGCACTGATATGTGGCATTGATGGGCACTGGCAGGTGGCACTGCTGGGGCTACACTGATGATCAGTGTAGATGTCCCCTCCGCGGAATGCCGATTACCGGCTCTCCTCTCCTCTGTCAGCGTGACAGCTCGTGCAGAGAGAATGCCGATAACCGTCATTTCCCTGTTTACATGTGATCAGCTGTGATTGGACACAGCTGATCACATGACCGAGCCAACATCTTCGGCTCTTTCCATGATTGGTGATCCACTGTGCGCTGCGCGGTGAGAATGGGAGGACGTCAAATGACCCCTCCCAGAACGAGAGAACCGCCTTGTGCCCGTCATTGTACTATATGGCGCGTGGGAGGCGGTTAAAGGAAAGAATCGTGACTGATTATTGGACAATCTTCAGCTAGCCGTGATCCTTGCTCTTGTATTTCCCGATTTCCTGCTGCTTGATTACCCGTAGCTGTCCTGACCTGTCCCTGGACTTCTCTCCACTCATCTCCTGATCAGGACTCTGGCTTGTTCATGTGTATGACCCCAGCTTGGCTGCTTACTTATGTGTAGCCCACCTCTGTAGGAGATGCTGGTGAATGCAGTCCGATTTCCCCACTTAGAGCCCACCCAGCATTTTCCTCACTCTTCCACCGGCTCCAAAGAACAATCTGGGGGGGGTTTGTTGCTTTTTTTTATTGGAGATGATAGGGAGAGGGAGCATGAGATACCCCAATAAACTGTAAAAGTGAATAACTTGAGGACTCCTCAACGTTCTGGCTGCACAGTACAAAAGGAAATGTCTATGATCTCCTGGATCTCTATGCTGATGGTGACGTGTACTACTTCCAGAGGTTTAAAAGCTAAACACAGTGACTACTCTTCAGCACTGGGGTCACTTACCCACATAGTCGCAGGATCATTGGTTGCCTCCTGCCGAAATTCACCAGGCTCTTCCTAGTGAGGGAGATGTAGACTCGCACCAGCATAGGACAGCTGGACTCTTTCCCACCAACGTCCTCCTGGCTCTCTCCAGTTAGCTTCTTGATCCCTAGACTCCATCTTGTGAATAGCCCCCCCCCCCAGCTACCTTTCCTTACGGCTTTTTCAAGAAATCTGTCCTCAGGAGCAGAGCCCATGCACAGGGGTTTCCTCTAACAGGACTGAACCCAGGAACACTGCACCCTGCTACTCAGGCATCAGACTAATTTTCAAATCTCTCACCACCAATTGGGCACACCTCCCCTGGGATAGGCTGGAGTGCCATAAATATTCAGTGTGCATGCCCTATTTTTTCCCCTACTGATTCTAGAATCCTCTAGAAGACAGGGGAAAGTCCCAGAGCCTGTGAGACACTGAACAGTCCTAAGTAGTCAACCCCTGCTCCTCTGATTACGGTGGTGCCAACTAAATTTACCTAGCAGCCAACTCTACTCTAGGAGGGTGCTACATGTGTATTCCCCTGACGTGGCTCCAGACTCTGCCTTCCATCTCTGCTGCTTACTTGTGCATGACCCTGGCTTACCTTCTCTCATCTCTCGTCTCTCATCTCGCCTGCCTGCTTGTGTATGACCCCAGTTTGGCTCCAGACTCTGCCTCTCATCTTTGCTGCTTACCTGTGTATGCCCCTGGCTTGGCTCCATACTTTGCCTCTCATCTCAGATGCTCCATACTCTTCCTCTCATCTCTGCTGCTTACTTGTGCATGACCCTGGCTTGGCTCCATACTCTGCCTCCCATCTCTGCTGCTTACTTGTGCATGACCCTGGCTTGGCTCCATACTCTGCCTCCCATCTCTGCTGCTTACTTGTTCATGACCCTGGCTTGGCTCCATACTCTGCCTCCCATCTCTGCTGCTTACTTGTGCATGACCCTGGCTTGGCTCCATACTCTGCCTCCCATCTCTGCTGCTTACTTGTGCATGACCCTGGCTTGGCTCCATACTCTGCCTCTCATCTCAGATTCTCCAGACTCTGCCTCTCGTCTCAGCTGCTTACTTGTGCATGACCCTGGCTTGGCTCCAGACTCTGCCTCTGATCTCGGCTGCTTACCTGTGTATGACCCTGGCTTGGCTCCATACTCTGCCTCTGGTCTTGGCTGCTTACCTGTGCATGACCCTGACTTGGCTCCAGACTCTGCCTCTCATCTTAGCTGCTTACCTATGTATGAACCTGACTTGGCTCCAGACTCTGCCTCTGATCTTGGCTGCTTACCTGTGTATGACCCTGACTTGGCTCCAGACTCTGCCTCTCATCTCAGCTGCTTACCTGTGTATGACCCTGACTTGGCTCCAGACTCTGCCTCTCATCTCAGCTGCTTACCTGTATATGTCCCAGGTTTGGCTCCAGACTCTGTCATCTCCATTGCTTATCTGTGTATGTCCCTGGCTCAGCTTCAAGATTATGTCTCTTCTACGTATCTGCACAAGGTCCTGGAAGTCTCTCTTTTCAGATCTACCCTACTATCTTGCATTGCCATACCACGAGAATCTGCTACAGTTCCTTCCGTGGTTGTTTCTGAGACTCCTATCTGCTGCCTAGGTCATTGTCCTTCAGACCAGCTCCATAGGCAACTACCCAGAACTCCAGCACCCGTACTACTTTGTGCCTTGCACACCTGTCTCCACATTCAGGCGCAACGCAAAAGAAGCCTTCTTATCACCTCAGCCTTCAACCAGGTACGTAACAAGGATCCCGTAGACTGGCCTGAAGAGTTTGGAAATTGTATTTACATAAAATAAAAAACATTAACGTAGGGGAGCTTCAGGGGAGGGCTTGGGGTAGAAATGTGGAGCCTAAAGTTGGACTTCAACGACCAACACTTGTATTCATTCTTCTGTGACACCACTGCAATGTGACTGGTTATTGTTGGACAATCTTCAGCTAGCCATGATCCTTACTCTTTTATTTCCTGATTTTCTGCTGCTTGATTACCCGTAGCTGTCCTGACCTGTCCCTGGACTTCTCTCCACTCATCTCCTGATCATGACTCTGGCTTGTTCATGTGTATGACCCCAGCTTGGCTGCTTACTTATGTGTAGCCCACCTCCGTAGGAGATGCTGGTGAATGCAGTCCGATTTCCCCACTTAGAAACCACCAAGCATTTTCCTTACTCTTCCACCGGCTCCAAAGAACAATCTAGGGGTTTTTTTTCTGAGACTCCTGTCTGATGCCTATGTCACTGTCCTTCAGACCAACCCCATAGGCAACTACCGACTTCCCAGAACTCCAGCACCCGTACTTTTTTGTGCCTTGTACACCTGTCTCCACATTCAGATGCGCCACAAAAGAAGCCTTCTTATCACCTCAGCCTTCAACCAGATACATAACAAGGACCCTGTGAAGACCCTGAAGATTTTGGAAAATGTATTTATATAAAATAAAAAACATTATAGTAGGGGAGCTTCAGGGGAGGGCTTGGGGTGAAAGTGCGGCGCCTAAAGTTGGGCTTCAACGACCAACACTTGTATTCATTCTTTTGTGACACCACTGCAATGACCATTTTTATTCTTGGCTGTGTTCATAACAAGGTAGGCTTTAGCTATTCATTTATTCTTTACAGGAACAAGTCTATTAAAATGAAGAGTTTCAGAATTCATGTCTTTTGAGGACCAGTAAATAGGAAAAAGAACGTCCCGAATGAATGAGATATCTTATTCCCCAAATTCCGCTGGTATTCAAACACTTTAAAATATTTAAAGCAAATGCATGACTTTGCGAAAAGTAATTTCCCGAAGCGCCTTTCCAGTTCTTTACTTTATGTTAATTCTTAGCGGTGGGCCGGTCTCCTGCCATGAGATCCTCTGGACACTTCACAGTCCTGGAAGAACATCTCACCTTTATGGCGAAATAATTCATGAAATGTCTACAAAGACACATGAATATGAAAAGCAATTTTGCGATTTCTTGAACAGTTACAGATTGGACCGGAGTGGATGTACAAGCAAACATACACATGGTGGAGGCACAAGCTGGCAGTACACTAGCTGATTTTTGAATGAATTCTCCGCACTTTCGTTTCAGCATTCGATTTGGAGTCAATGTATTGTTTTGGATGCGGTCACTTACCGACCACAGCTGTTGTGATCTACCAGGGAGCCTAATTAATGTGAGAATACGTGAACGTGGAAGTAAGACACTGGCACATAAATGCAGTTTGCCAACTTCCTAAAATTCTATTTTATTGAGGAACTAACAGTAACATTTATAGGTCTTATGATGCAGGCACAGCATACACATTGATTGGGTGAAAGGTCCACAGGGTTTCTGCGTGTTCTTCCATCCGTGTTGATATCTTCCAATCATTGTCCCCAAAACGACTCATTCCCTTTTATGGGGGTTGTTTATGTTAAAAGATACTTTCCTTCTAATGAGTCACCTCGGGTGAGACTCCGAATGAAGGCGCCATCTTAATTATCATCATTGTTCTGTCAACTTATATCTGATTGTTTACTTCAGAGAGTAAGGAATTTAAAGAGATAGAAGCAGAAAGTAGCAAGACTATAAAATTGTCATTTTACTGATCATCTAATAGAACGTGGACTGACTATCACAATCCACTGCAGTATTTTCCTGAACCAAAAACCACATTCAATGTTAGAAATTTGTTTGTTCAATATCTATCTATCTATCTATCTATCTATTATCTATCTATTATTATCTATCTTCTATCTATCTATCTATCTATCTATCTATCTATTATCTATCTATCTATTATCTATCTATCTAATTATCTTATCTATCTATTATCTATCTATCTATCTATCTATCTATCTATCTATCTATCTATCTATCTATCTATCTATCTATCTATCTATCTATCTATTATCTATCTATCTATCTATCTATCTATCCTATCTATCTATCTATTTCTATCTATCTATCTATCTATCTATCTATCTATCTATCTATCTATCTCTATCTATCTATCTATCTATCTATCTATATCTATCTATCTATCTATCTATCTATCTATTATTATCTATCTATCTATCTATCTATCTATCTATCTATCTCTCTCTATCTATCTATTATCTATCTAAATCTATCTATCTATCTATCTATCTATCTATCTATCTATCTATCTATCTATCTATATCTATTATCTATTATCTATCTATCTTTTATCTATCTATCTATCTATCTATCTATCTATCTATCTATCTATTTCTATTATCTATCTATCTATCTATCTCTATCTATCTATCTATCTATCTATTATCTATCTATCTATCTATCTATCTATCTATTATCTATCTATCTATCTTTCTATTTT